CTGCGTGCGCCCAGAACCCTTCAACTGAAGAGTGGGCTCCTCGAGGATCTGCCCCCCGCCCTGCGTAGCCGCCGTTTCGTCCTTAGTCGCCTCAGCCGCTGCCTCGATCTCCTCATCTTTCTCTGGAGTCTCCTCCTCTACCTCCTCGCAGTCCTCATCCTCATCGTCTGGGTCGCCTCGAAGATCGGGCATGCCGCCGCTCGACGAGGCCTGCTCGCCCTCCTTCGCCTCCCCCTTCGCCTCCTCCTTCTCCTCCTCCTCCACCTCCTCCTCCTCGTCCCCCTCGCCCTCCTCATCTTCTTCATCCTCCGCCTCGCCCTCGGGGTGCATGGCTGCCGCAACCGGGTCGGCCAAGGGCGCCGCGCCGGATCCAGCCGCGTGCTTCCGAAAAGCTTGCAGGCGCGGTGGGCTATCATCGATGTCCGAGTCCTCGCACTTCTGGATGCATGCCTCTATGTCGCGCCGCATCGCCCGTAGACGTTTAGCGAAGGTCACCGCCCGTGCGACCTTCTGCTCGCTGAGGTGGAACTCGGACTCCTTCTCCTCCGCCACCTGAACAAGGGCCCACTGCAACTGCTTTTGTGGCAAGCCCGCTGGCAGCAGCGCCAGCGCCCCCGCCCAGTTCTGCAGCTCCTTCGCGTTGCGGGGGCCACTTGTCGCCTCTTCCCTGTAGTCGGGCCTGTCGGTTGTGACGATCCTCTCCGCGAGACTCTCGGCGAGCTGCTCCAGCTCGGCCTGCCCGACGCTGGCCCCTCTTCGGCGGCGTCGCGCCGCGCTGTTCTGATGTGCACTGGCGCCCCTCGCGACATGCACGCGCCTCGATGCTTCGAGCCAAAAGCAACGACAGGAACAACGGCTTAAACCAGACATCCCCAAGTGCCACACTAGCTAGATCTTGCCGCCACGGACTGACGCACCCGAAATACCGCGCTACACAGCGCACATCCGAGAATGACGCGCTATACATTTAGCCCGAAATTGCATTGCCAAAAACTACAATCAAAACTGGACGTCTTTCTGATCAGCGTCTCACGGCGAAACCAGATACGACGACGCCCCATCGTACCTAACCGCTCACCCCGCCCTGGAACCTGGAAGGGCGTTGGAGCGCAGCTGGAAAGACAGAAGTTATTGCAAGTCCGAAGGGTTGAACAGGGGCTACAACTTTTCTACATGTGCGCCTCGCGCTGGATGATGCGCGCGGGATGACATGCCACCCCCGCCCCCCGTCCCACAGCATGTCAGGTTATGAGGATTTAGGCATTCTTCCTGGGGGGCGCACGCCGAGGGAGAAGATGGAAGGGACCAGAGACCACGGGCGAAGGGTGAGAGAGAGGGACGAGGAGAGGACGGGAAGGGTAAGGGGGCGTATATTTGGAACCCTTCAAACGAAACTGACGCCACCTGGTGCAAAGAGAGCAGAGAAAGCACAGCCGCTGCAGTCCTTCTGGTCTGCGCCATCTGACGCCATCGGGCTGGTCTGGGCGGGGAAGGATCGCACGCCCGAGTGCAAACTCAACAAAATGCTGAAACGCTGGCAAGGGCCACGGAGCGGCGCACAGGTTGGGGACACCCTCGCTTTCACTATCCCCGTTGTCTCTGCCGCAATCGTGGTTTCCACCGCCGCGTAGTCGCCGTCGCCGTCGTTGCTGCCGTTGCCATCGCTGTCGGGGGGTACTAAACACACGAGCTCGCTGAATCCATCGACCCCCTCTTCAGATGGGTCGGCGTTTTTATCGTTTCTGGGCGGGCCGCCGTCTCGCTGCCCCCCACCCCCCAGGCGTTTTTATTTGTATACGGACATGCGGTACTGACATAACTATGTTATACATCCTTCCCATCTTGCATCCTGCGCAACGCTCCATCCACCTATTTTTTGTTTCTCGCAAGAGTGTCCAGAAACAAACGGAGCAACGCAAAACTTCGATCATCCAGCAAGGGAAAACAACAAATCTATAGCACAAACCACCTAGAGCTTATAAATAAGCTCCAGAGCTTATTTCAAGCTTTTCATGTTGAAGCTTAAAATAATCTTCAGAGAACCTCCGGGCGTCGCCGCCTTCACCGGCGGGCCTGCCCGCGCGGCCACGCACGGCGCAAGCAATCAACAGGAAGATGTCCGAGAGCATAAACTTCAGCGGGTAACAGTGCACCCTGGACGCAAATGGCAGCGACGGTGACACGACGGGGCGGAGCAGTAGATCCAACGTGAGCAAGCTGAGCATGAGCGCTTCCATCACTGCAAAGGCCTGCTTGACCAGGCGGGAGTCGCCCTCGCCAGCCTGCGCCTGCCATGCGACCCTTATCAAACTGCCCAGCCGGCCCGCGACGCCGCGGCAGGGCAATCGACGGCCGGGCAAGGCGTGGGGGAGGTGGTCCAATATTCGGAATCTGCAGACAACTGGAACGCAGGTGTTGGTCGGATACGCGCGTCGCCGGCCATCGCGCGCATCGAACCACCCAGTCACCGACGACGTGATGTTCGCCCTGTTCAGGATCGCCGCGCGGAGGAAGGCTCCCACCTGCTCGACCGTCTCCGGCGCGACTCCGTCCGAGAGATGCCGATGCGCGGCGGCGAGATCTCGCAGCGCCGTGTCGTCGAGGACCCCGGGGGCCCCCGTGCGTCGACGCATGCAATCGCACGCCAGCCGCGCAGCCGAGCGAGCATCAGTGGCTGGTGCCGAACGGGAGATGCGTCGAGACCTGAGCGCCGCGCCCAGGCGAGGCTGCTTGCCCAACAACGGAGCGCGGCGCACAATCCGCCACCGTGCCTTTGGCACGTTGGGGCGCGTTAGAATGCCCCTCTGATCCCTCTGGGAGGTTTTTCCTACATGTTTGCTAAGGGCCGCCCCCCGCCCGGCGCGCGCGCGCCGGGCCCAGAAATCGGCCCCCTCGTTTTTTGATAATTACCCCCTCGCAAGGATCGTGGCCTCCGAGGGCGAAAATTCGAGCCTCCAGAAACCCCCTGGAGGCCCCCCGCCACAGGAGGCCCCCCAGGCGCCCCCAAGAGGCCCCCAGGGGCCCCCAAGGGGCCCCGAGAGGCTCCCGAGAGGCACCGAAGAGGCCCCCAACATGTCCCCAGGAGGCCTCAAGAGGCCTCGGCACCGCCCCCCAGAGGCCCCAAGGAAGCCAAGCAGGTGCCCCAACAGGCCCCCAAGGAGCCCCAAGAAGCTCCCATTGGCCCAAGAAGCACGGAAGAGGCCCCCAACATGCCCCCAGGAGGCCTCAGGAGGCCTCGGCACTGCCCCCCAGAGGCCCCAAAGAGGCCAAGCACGAGATCGCACCGCTGTCCCTACACTGAGCATCCTGCCTGCTGCGCTGTTGCACAATCACGGTGGCGGGGCTTGCCGCGGGCAGGTGGATAGATCAACGCAGCAATGGGGCGCGCTGAAGGCACCGCTCCGCGCGATCCCGGGTTCCCCTTGGGACCAACGCGTCCGGCTGAACCACGACTAGCAGGCAGTAGAAGTAGCAGCACGGAACAAAGGCTTGTCGACGAAGCCCAGGCGGTCCGCGATCACGTCAGATGCGTTGCAAGGTCCTGGGACAGCAGGTCCGATCCAACCAAGTATTCCTCACTGTCCTTTCCTTGGTACGGGATGCCCGCCCACGAGGTTGGCTCCCAGGTGTCTTCATATTCCTCTTGGTCTCGTTCGCTTTCCACATCAGAACAATCCGAATCCGACGCGGATTCCACGTTGGCTGGCGCACCTGCTGGTTATGGCGAAGGCGCCCGGGGAGGAAGTTCCGGCGCCGACGAAGACGCGGCCTGGCGGTCCCACCGGCCGTGGTGCGAAACACCGCCGCGATGTGTACACGCGGGCGGTCCGTCCTCGGCACGGCAGGTAATGTACCGAGGACATCCTGGGCCCTCACACCGGAGGCGCTTCATCTTGAGCCACCGCTTCGAAAAGGAAAGGGCTACGCAGGCATCGCAGAAGGAAAGGGGGAAATCTATGGTGGGAGACAAGGAGGGGGAGGAGCAGTACGAGTAAGACGACAGGGAATGAGAGATGCGGAGGCTCGCAAATCCCGAGAGGCGCGCTACAGTATATAAGCTCGCGCGACTCACACATGAAAACATCGGGCAAGAGCGAAGTCTCAATACGCGGAGACGCAGGCATACAGAAGGAAAGGGAGAAATCTATGGAGAGTGAACGAGTGGGAGACCAGGAGGGGGAGGAGCAGTATGAGTAAGACGACACGGAATGAGAGATGCGGAAGCTCGCAAATCCCGAGAGGCGTGCTACAGTATATAAACCTGCGCGACTCACACATGAAAACATCGGACAACAGCGAAATCTCAGTACGCGGAGAATGCAGGTCATGATGACGATCAGGTTGGAAAGGCTAGGAACCTGAGGCCTGAAGTGGAGTTGTGAGGATGCCTCGAGCGGCGGCGCCAGAGTTGCGAGGATGTTTCGAACAGCGGCGCCAGAGTTGTGGACGCCCCTGACGCTCCCGACGCTCCTGACGCGCCTGCGCCAGATCTCGAGCGGCGGCGCTGGAGTTGTGAAGATGTCTCGAGCGGCGGCGCCCGACTTGTGAGGATGTTTCGAGCGGCGGCGCCGGAATTGTGAGGATGTCTCGAGCGGCGGCGCTGGAGTTATGAGGATGTCTCGAGCGGCGGCGCCCGAGTTGTGGACGTCCCAAAACATTGAAAAGGGCGAAGACGACGAAGGTGGAGGGTAGTGACGGGTGAGGACGATGAGAAGGGTGAGGACGGGGATGCGGATGTGGATTAAGATAAAGAAGATGATGAAGAGGATGATGAGGGCAAGGAGGATGCGGAGGACGCGGAGAAAGCAGGTCATGATGACGATCAGGTTGAAAAGGCGAATCAGAAGAACCAGGACGAGGACGAGGACGAGGACGAAGACGATGATGAGGGCGAGGACGACGAGGACGAATGATGATGCTGACGACAGTGACGATGAGGATGAGGGTGAGATGCCCCGAACAGACTTCGAACAGGTCCCTGAGAGGCATCCCAGGAAAACCACAGATGCATCGACGAGGCTCCGGGCCCATAGCCTAGGCACGGTGGTGGGTTGGTCCGAAGGCCGCTAGATCCGCCACCCCTCTGTTGTTTCTTCATCACAGGGGTGCCTGGCGTGCTGGATCCTTTCGGTTTGGATTTCGATTATTTTTCTCAAAAGGCGACGAATCCCACAGGCGGTTTCCTCCTCTTCCCCCTCCTGCTCCTCATGATACCCCTACGCCTCCACGAACCTCGATCGCATCAGCTCGGTCCGCCGCGGCCGCAGAATCATTCCATGGGAACGCCCAGAACCGCGAATGATCCTGGATCCGTTTTCGAAAGCCCTAGGGCCCGAAAGCGGCCCCTGGAGCCTGAGGCCTGAAGTGGAGTTGTGAAGATGCCTCGAGCGGCGGCGCCGGAGTTGCGAGGATGTCTCAAGCAGCGGCGCCGGAGTTGTGGACGCTCCTGACGCCCCCGACGCTCCTGACGCCCCTGCCGCTCCTGACGCCCCTGACGCGCCTGCGCCAGATCTCGAGCGGCGGCGCTGGAGTTGTGAGGATGTCTCGAGCGGCGGCGCCCGACTTGTGAGGATGTTTCGAGCGGCGGCGCCGGAATTGTGAGGATGTTTCGAGCGGCGGCGCCGGAGTTGTGAGGGTGTTTCGAGCGGCGGCGCTGGAGTTGTGAGGATGTCTCGAGCGGCGGCGCCGGAGTTGTGGACGTCCCTGACGCTCCTGGCGCTCCCGACGCTCCTGACGCTCCTGACGCTCCTGGCGCTCCTGACGCTCCTGACGCTCCTGACTCTCCTGACGCTCCTGACGCCCCCGACGCTCCCTGATGTTCCCTGACGCTCTGACGCTTTTGACGCTTTTGACGCTCCTGACGCTGCTGACGCTCTGACGCCCCTGACGCTCCTGACGCTCCTGACGCTCCTGACGCTCCTGACGCTCTGACGCCCCTGACGCCTGGAGCGTCAGGAGCGTCAAAAACGTCCAGAGCGTCAGGAGCGTCAAAAGCGTCAGAGCGTCAGCACTTGTTTCCAGGGGCGCGCTGCGCCAGCTCTCGAGAGACTTGCGAAAACTGAGACGTGCTGGAGGCGGGCCGAATGGACGCGCGACGCCTGTTCGGCTCGTCCACGCTGCGTAAGAAATCGAAGCGCAGATTGTCCGGCTCCTGGGGGATCCGAGGACGAAAGAAAGCAGGTTCGGGAGGGTAAGGGGAAAAAAAGAGAAAGAGGAGCAGAGAAGGGGTCAAAGGTCAGAAGAGATGGGATTTATATGGAGATGTCGGAAGGACGAAGGAACATACGGTAACAAGGCACGTGTATCAGATGTGTGGCCAGAGGAAAGCGAAAGCGTCCGCCTTCCGACCCCATACGGCCAGAAGTGCATGCCTTTTCGGGCCCAGAGAGTGCGTGAACCCACCACACGGGGGCACAAAGGTATGCAAGAATATGGCTAACCTGGTGCCACTTTCTGCCGCTCCTCTGTGTACCGCCCGTCCCAGAGAAGCAAATTATGCCAACCTAGACACAAAAACACACGCACGCATTTTCCTCGCTGGTGAGCTAACAACTCAACGTCGTCGCAGTCACCATTGACCCGGGCTGCGAAGCCAATAACGCAGCAGGGAATCGAATGGCGGCCAGAACCAAAGCAGGCGATAGAGATAAACGCCACCACACACACATACATACGGCATAGATATACATATATATATATATATGTATGTAAACAATAACACACAACACCATCAATGTTTGCCAACCGCCAAAGTGATCCCAATATGAGCCCAAGTAAACCTTTCAAAGACAACTCGCAAGAGTTCGCTTTGGTTGGAATGCCACAAAAGATCCATCCATTCCAAGCTGACCCCAAACCGTCCAGGACATGCAGGCGAAATGCGGCCGAAGACCGCACATGGAGGAATCTAAGAGGGCCCAAAACAAGGCAATCCCAACCCCAAGACGCTCCCAGATGGCCCCCGATACCGACCAAACAATAAAATCCTTCCACAATGCCCCCAGCATCTCAAATAGGTCCCAAGCAGAAGGTCCTACTACGCTTCCGATATACGTCGCAACAGCCGTGCAACATTGAAGCCACAACAAGCTACAGAGTTGCTGCAGTGCGACCTGGCGCGTGGTGGCAAGTATGCGCGGTAGCGCCCACAACCATGGACCAAAAGTAGTAGGGCGGACGCGGATCGTGTGATTGCGAGAAGGGCGGAGGAGGAGGAGGAGGAGGAGGAGGAGGAGGAGGAGGAGGAGTAGAGAACTGCAACATAACGAAATGAGGCACAGATTCAATTGCGTCATCTGAAAATGAAGACCGGCAGACTTGTGGGAGAGGCATACAACTCCACAGTGAGTCTGAGACACCAGGCAGAGAGGAGAGGGAAACAGGTGGCGAAGAACAATCGCGCAAACGTGCAACACTATGAGCAATGTCACTCTAAAACGACGGCGTAGCTTGCTGCACGCACGGAATGCTGACAAAGAGGTTAGAAGAGAGCACAACACTTGCGCCGACATGCGCAATTCCATTGCAACGCAACTTCCACCGCAACGCTCCAATGTGGTACAAACATAAAGATGCTCGAGGGCCCACGATCCAATGAGGCGGCACTCACGAGCACATACGTTTACATAGACGCGCTCATGGAAGTAAAGGAGCCCTTGCGGAGAAGGCGCGTGGGATTGCAAGAAAAGCGAGACGACCAAAGAGGAGCCGTCCATAAGAGACTTCTCGACGTTCTCCATCGTCGCCTGAAATTCCCGTTGCCCCTGCCAGCGCTCTGAGAAAGCATATGCTGCTTGCCGTCCACTAACCCGATCGTGTCGGCGCGGCTCGGCTCTTGCCTCATCCATTTGTTCTAGCCCTTCCCTTCTCGATTTGACCGTCTTTCCCTCATCCCTGACTGCCCTCTTCACATGCCATCACACCTCCTCGCTTTCACTACTGACGAGCAAGGTTTCAAAGTTGAATTTGCCAGGCTAGCAGAGCACATGCACTGGCGTGGCGCTCAGCAGCTTGATCGCCGAAGTTGCAAGCCACGTCGAAGGCTGAACCAACGCTCACGTGATGTTGCTCACCGCAGGATGCAAGAGCAGGCAAGCTGGTATCGCTGCGAAACCATTGGAACGCCGGGCAAAGGTGCCAGCTACAGCTGCTACTAACGTGAGACCTGCAATCGACTCGATTCACCATTGTTCGAACCCACCAGTCCTCTGGGCTGAAGGTGGCCTAGAGTTCTCTTAAGCTCCTCTCTGCCAGCCTAGACCCCCAGGAGAAGAGGCCTACTTTTCGCCTTACCCTTTCTTCCTCCTCTACCTCCTCCTCCTCCCCCTCCTCCTCCTCTTCCTCCTCCTCCTCCTCCTCCTCGGCTGACATCTTGACGTAAAGGCTTCGAGTTCGGGTCCCTAGGGCCGAGAATACCAATGCGCGACAACCATATCAAAACGCAATGCTTACCTCCAAAAATGACCCAAATAACAAATGGCTTCCGCCATCGCCAGCCTCTTGTCCCGAGTAGGCTCTAAAAACGGTCGGGGAGCCCTTCAACACGCTTCGAAGAGGCCGTCAAGGCAGACCAGAAAGGCGACCAAAATAATCCAAGAGACCCACGAGAGAATCCAAGGGGCGTCCAAGGGACCCTAGGCCGGCCCGAAAAGTATCTGAGATTCTCCCCGAACAGCCTAAGAGGCTCCTAAGGCAACCCAGAAGCTCCCCAAGACACTTCAAGGCGCGCCAAGAGGCGTCAGAGAGGCGTGTGCATAAGGCGCCCACGGTGAGCCACCCAGAGGCCCCCGAGGACGGCTTGAAGGGATCCCAGAGAGACTCAAGACGGCCTCCAAGAAGAGCTCGTATCGCCGAGAGACCCCCGAGACTGCAAAGTGTTTCTCTAGAGGCGACCAGGGATGACCCCTGGCGAGGGAGGCTCCATTAATTGTGCCACACCACTTTCGTTATGCCGTGCCTCTGTCGCCCGCTTCTGCCAGTCGTCGCCCTTCGCTCCTCTGATCAATCCTCGATCATCCCAGGGCCATACTATACATCACAAGATCGTACCATGGTTCACAATGTCACCATACCAGGCGGGACAGCAATACTCGACCAGACCTGACAAGACAGCATAACCATAAACTTTCGGAGGTCCGCGCGGATTTCTTGGATCGACGCTGACCCCCCCTGCCTGCGGCGCGGAGATCGGCAGGGGCGGCGCTGGAGGCGCCGCCAGGGGGTCAAACGCAGATCCAAGAAATCCGAGCGGATCGTCGAACACTGATGTTTATGCCACTTTTGGACAGGCGCGTTCCACTACTCGCAAATCAACTACTCGCCAATGGCCCGGATCCGCTCCGGTGGATTTGCGACTCATTACATCGGGGAAGACTTGTTCTTTTCGGACGTTTGCAAGTAGGCACTTTGCAAGTAGCGGAACGCGCTCGTGAGTATCGTTTAACCGATCCCCATCCCCAGCGGCATGGCCTGGGCCCCACTGGCCGATCTACCCCTTAGATGGGGATATAGGCCGTTCCCTTCGGGTGTCGAGGGGTGTATCCCCAACTGGGGTGGTCACTGAGCTCGGCGAACTTTTCATTCTTCGACGAGCGAAAACGGGGAAGACGGACCCACAGCATGGCAGACCAGATGGGGAGCGATGCGCCCGTGCGCCCACGCGGGCAGCCAACCGCGGACTGCAGGACACCTCGGTGGCACCGAGGAGCTCGCGCTCGGAAAAACAGGCGCAGGAAGCGAGGAAACGGAGACGAAGGAAGCGGAGGCTGGAGTACAGGGAGGGGGACGGAGCCTCGGGTGGCGGGGGGGGGCGACCGACGAGACGAGCTTCTCAGGTCGCCAGCGTTGTGCGCCCGGACCGCCCGCACCGAGATGGGGCCAGGTCGCGCATCAGAGAAGATCAGCAAGACCAGATCGGCACAAAGACGCTACACCCGACCCTGTCGAGTTCGACCAGGCGCGCCCGGGCGACACCATAAATCACCTGGCAGAAGTCAGAAAGATTTAACGTGAGATCTTACACATTTAGAGCCAGACACGGACACTGGTCGCAGAATCGGCTGGTAGGGGCACGCGAAACGTTTGCAATCTTCCTGCCGATCCACATCACAAAATTTACGCGGCACGCCTGCCACCATTGCGTGTACCTATTGTTGCTAGACGCGGCCAGGGAACCCGTCGGACTCACTCTGTAGCCCAATCTGCAGATGCGGTGATAGCGAGCGGCCCGGCGATGCGAAGCGCCACGGAGCTAAAGTAGGAGCGTTCCTGTTCGAGGACAGACGACTGCCAGAGCATGGGGACGCTTCCACCGGTCGTTCGAGCGCAGTGGCTCATCTTCTACGGTCACCGCGCTACCATCAGGAACGCAGGAGACGGAAACGGCGACCATCGGCCACGAATAGGTTCCCGGACCTAGATCTAAGGAACGACCCGAAGACAAAAGCCCATCCTGAGCCCGCCCAAAATGGTCCTTAGTTTAGCGTCTTGACTGTATGCCGCTCCAGTTACCTCACAAAGTCCACCACAGGCCCCCAAGGAGCTGGGAAGAGACATCCGATGAGGTCATTCGGGAAGCTCCCGAGAAGCCCTGGAGAGGTCCACAAGCGGCAACGCAAACGACCACACGCTAGAGCGAGGCCATGCTACGGCACTGCAACGCAGCTCCCCCCCGCGCAGTGGTGGTCACGCGCGGCAGCGCGAGTGGGATAATCAATTCTGATCAGCCATGTGTCGCTCACAGATTTTCTTCAGCATGGGGAGGAACGACGCCCCACCGCCGCGCGGCTGGCTACGCTGCCCCGAAACTACACGCTCCTGGAGGCTGCACTGACATGGCGCATCCAGAAGAGCACGAAAGTCAGGCACAAGAGCGCATGCGGTCACAACTCTTAGCTCGGATGCGCCGAGCATGGGGAGAAACGGGTCCTGAGGAAAACAAGTCCTGGACCCCCGAGCCTTCCCCCGGGACCAACTCTTCCTCCCGAACTGTGTTCTGATGGTCCCGGGCCCCGTGGAGGGTCCCGAACACGGAAAAATACCTCCGGACCCAGTTCGCTAAGGACCTTTTCCCCCAATGGCGAGCTGTGCCGCTCAAGATTTGTTCCTGGCGGTGCCGCGCCCGCCAACGACGGACTGACAGACGTCGGCGGGCAGCTCGCGGAGGAGCGCCAGGGCAACCCGCGCCCGCAACCGCAAAGCTGCAGCCAGGACCAAGGAACACAATGTTGGCCCGCCCGCGGCCGCCTGAAGCTGCAACCGCTGGGCATCACACGGCGGCGAGCGCGGGGGTGAAATGAGAAGGAGAAGACCTTCCCAAAAGGACGCGGGGCTACTCAGACGCCCGCCGGCCTTCTGAGAAATGTCCGGTGTCTCCGTGGAAGGCTCGGGAAATCACTCGGAATGCCAGGGGACTTCCGAGCCTTCTGAGATAGTCTTCTCCTATTCACGTCCCTCCCTCGCTCGCCGCCAACGTGTAAACGACCGCTATCCCCATGGGCGTGGCCTGGGCCCCAAGGGGCGATTTACCACGTTGGAATAGAAGGCGTTGTCTGGGGGGTTCGAGGGGGTATGTCCCCAACTGGGGTGCTGAGATGGTGGGGATGTGGATCGGAGGTTGGGGGGTGAGGTCGAAATGGAACGGAGAGACCTCCACCGGGAAATTGGTTCCGGATTCCGGTTCGTGTCGTGCGTGCGGGTGAGGTGTCGTGATGCGCGGGCGGGCGACAAGAATAATCCGCTGTTTTCGTTTTGTGTTTCGTTTTGCTCGACCTGTCTTCCTGTGACTCCCTGCCAAAACGAAAAACAAAACACAGCCGAAGTCCTGCAAAACAGCGTTTAGGTCCAGCCCTGGGCCAGGACGAGTCAAGAATCGTTGACGGCCCCTCCTCCCTCCCCGGTGGGCAGGCGCCTGGCTGGGTTGTCCCGCCATGGTGTCCCGTTGGCGTCCCGCCTGTGTCCCGCCGGTGTCCCGTGGGTGTTCCGTCGCTGTCCCGTGGCTGTCCGATCGCTCTCCAGTATATACAGCTCCGATCGCGCACAACACCATGGGGTCCTCGTGAAGGCTCTAGGTCCGCCATGACGCCCGTCGGCGGACACAGGAATTGCTCGACGAGAGGACCCCCTTTACGCGCATCGAACCATGGCACCCTGATGCGCGCAGCCTAGGCCCTGTACACGATGACCCTATACACTTCCCTTCTCAGCACCTTGGACTTCCACTTGGACTTTCTACGTCATCGTCGCCGTCCTCCTCCTCCTCCTCCTCCTCCTCCTCCTCCTCCTCCTCCTCCTCCTCCTCTAACGTTCTGCGCTCCCATCCTCAACACCAAGAACTCCCACATGCCCCGTTCTACATCATTCCGTCGTAATCGCCGTCCTCCTCCTCATCCTCCTCCGCCTTTCCAACCTCCCTCGCCATACGTGGATTTCTGCTGCTTCCTTGACACTGCGGGTAGACGTTCCGCAATCGTTGCCAGTGCACATGTGTCTCCATCCCCTGACTTCGCCGCCATCGTGCTTGTGCGCCCCTGCGTCCCTGCCTGCCTCGATGAACGCGTCCTCACTTCCAGGCTTGACGTCGATGTACACGTACGTGACATCTCCCACGTTCCGCCAGGACTGACCAGCAGGGCGCTCCAAAATGCGAAGGCGCAGGCGGCAATCGAGCTGGGGTCAGTGCGCCGTCCGCAGCCCGCCCCCAAACCTGGGTGAGGGATGATGCAGTAAGAGCGCACGTGCGGGGGTCCCCCTCCTCCTCCTTCCGAATCTTGCAAGATGACGAATGATAAAATGATAAGTGTTTGTGGGTAAACGATGATCAAGGTAGTTTCCGAATCGGCCTCCGCTTTTCCAGCTCCGTCTGGCCCGTCGACCCTCCAGGCGCGCGCCCGAGGGCGGGAGGGAACGATTAGGAAATTGTTTCCCAGCCAGGGGCCCGTTTGCCTAGTCGCCATCCTGGGCGCGCCGCCGCGTGAACACGACCCCCGGTAATAACCGAACCATCACTCTCCGAGTAGATCTCTCCCCCCTGTCGCAGTACAAGATTTGTCCGTAGGCCGGGCCGAGCGTTTCGAGTGCGACTTCCCTACCATGTACAAAATTGTGCTATCCTGAAGCTCATGAGTTGTAGCGATTTGAAGGATGGAAGACTTGCCGTTTTCAAGATACGGTTTTCGCCTTAGCTCCGCGCACCTTCGTGTTCATTACTGCAACTTCGAAGATAGAGGGCGGGCGACTTTCAGAATTCGGCTCTCGCGCTAGCGCCGCGCACATTCGCCCATAAAGCAAACACCTATTAGGCTGCAGGGATGGAGGGCGGGTGGTATTCAAAATATTGCTCTCGCCTCAGCGCCGCGCACATTCGCCCTAAAAACTTCCAAACGATGGAAGGATGGAGGGGGCTTCCCTTTCAAAACGAGGCACTCGCCTCAGCGCCCCCCCCATTGGCAAAATTTTGCAATGCTTTCAGAATTCAGCTCTCGCCTTGGCGCTGCGCACATTCGTACTAAAGCTAGCAAGAAGTTCAATGGCGGAGGGCGTTTTTCGATGAGCTGGTGGGGTTACACGAAGCGTCTGGACGAGGGCTCTCGCTTGAGGCCTCGTTGGGTTTCGTGGCCAAGCGCGCAACCTGGTTTGTGCAACAACTACACGGATAGGGGGTGGCTCCTGCACAGAATGGGGCTCCCGCTGCTCAACGCGTTGAACATAATGCTTCTCGTTTGTCGAATTTCTGTATCGCTCGCTAGAGAGACGCAGCGCAGGTCCTTTTCAAAACGGAGTTTGTTATTTTACTACAGAGCCATGCCGAAATGCAAAGGAGGGCTTCAAAACGGAGTGCTTGCATGAATGGCAGGCCCTCGTCGTCGGCTGCGCTCGCTGTGGCGGCCGCTAGCGTGGCCGGCCGTGACAGAGGAGGGCAAGGGAGACGGGTGGGTGGCGTCGCTCCGAGATTGGCCGGTTCACGACCTCTGTCCAAAATGTCCGTCCAGGGCATCCGTGCATACGGGGACGCGAGAGGGCCCAGCGGTAAGCATCTGGGCACCGACGGGCAGAAAGGCCCACAGTGGCAAGCATGACCGCACTCGAGCACGAAAGCGTCCGAGGCTCCTGCGGTGGGCTTGTATCCGAAGGACGTGTCATGAGGGCAGCGATGGCGGCGCAGATGCTTCAATATTGAAAAATATGCAAAGTCAGACATACGTGCACCTATAGCCACTTCAATCGCGACGCGGCGGACTTCGGGGGGCGCTGGTCAGGTTCTTCCAGCGTTTCTCTACGTGGGATACTCGTGAGTATTCAGGCGAGGACGAGCAGCATGTGGAGCACGTGCGCGCCTGCTCCACGGCCCCCGATCCACACTTCTTGGGAGTCGGTCCCTCCCACGGCGCACAGTGTATGAGGCGAGGGCAACCTCCTGCGCTGCACGGAACTGCTCAGGGAATGGCCCTTCGCCTGGCTAGATGATGCTCCTCCGCTCCCTGTTCCTTCTCTCCTCCGTCCGTCCGTGCGTCCATCTTTACTCCCTCTTCCGTCCCTCCATCACCTGGCCATCGCTCGGACGTCCATTCCTTGTGCTTGTTTCGGTTTCGTGTGTGTGTGTGTTTTTCCTCGCCAAATGACCAAGGATGCTCCTCGATGGTCCTCGCCGAAGGAAAATGCACACGTCCGAGCTCGGCTGCTCCAGGGTCTCAGGGCGCATGCGCCTCTAGCAAGCCCCACCTGGCCAACGCCGTGCGCCTGCGGGCGGGCGCACGGCCTGGGTGGTGCGGCCAGGATGCCCTGTCCCTGGCCCTGCCGCGGGCGCTCCTCCTTCCTTCCGTCCCCCCAGCTCTCGCTCTCGCTCCCGTCCTCGCTGGCTGGCCCCCCCGTGAGGAGGCCGAGGGTGATGGAGGCACTGGAGCGAAGAGGGGAAGAAGAGGCCTGAAAACTACACGCGAGAGGACACAAGACCCTTCCGAGGGCCACGTTGCCGCAGAAATGCAGGAGGCATGGGTCGCAAGACACAGGACACGAGGGTACCCTTGATCTGGCAGGGTCGACCTACTACTCCGGGCCGCCTGTAGCAGGATTGAACACCAAGAGAGGCCACGGGGCTTCGAGGGTCGCTCTGGCCCCCCCCCAGGACGCGGCACAGGCTGGTTTCGCCCGGCTGGTTTCGCCAGAACTGATTTCGCCTGCGCTGGTTTCGCTCGACTCTGGTTTCGCCGGCGCTGGTTTCGCCCCGCTGGTTTCGCAGGACAATAAAGTGTGGTGCATAATCGAGTGGGCACGCGAGAGCCCTAACGGTCGGGTCGGGTCAGGTCGGGCGGACCCTAACGGGCGGGTCGGGTCGAGTCGGGTCGGGTCGGGCGGACCCTAGTGGGCGGGTCGGGTCGGGCGGGCGGGACATTAAAGTGTTGCATATAATAGAGAGGACACGCGAAATCCCTAACGGTCGGGTCGGGTCGGGTCGGGCGGACACTAACGGGCGGGTCGGGTCGGGAGGGCAAGCGGACCCTAACGGGCGGGTCGGTCGGGCGGGCGAGACATTAAAGTGTGGTGCATATAATCGAGAGGACACGCGAGAACCCTAACGGTCGGGTCGGGTCGGGTCGGGCGGACCCTAACGGGCGGGTCGGGTCGGGCGGGCGGACCCTAACGGGCGGGGGTCGGGCGGGCGGGACGTTAAAGTGTGGTGCATATAATCGAGAAGACACGCGAGAACCCTAACGGACGGGTCGGGTCGGGTCGGGCGGACCCTAACGGGCGGGTCGGGTCGGGTCGGGACGGGCGGACCCTAACGGGCGGGTCGGGTCGGGTCGGGTCCAGCGGCCTTAACCCTCTTCCCTCCTGCCTCCGTCCTGCCCTCCCTCAGCCACCTCCTCCACCACCTCCACCTCCACCTCCTCCTCCCCCACCTCCCCCCCTCCTCTCCTCCTCCTCTCCTCCTCCTCCTCCTCCTCCTCCTCCTCCTCCTCCTCCTCCTCCTCCTACTCGTCCTGCCTCCTCCTCCTCCTCGTCCTCCTGCTCCTCCTCCCCCTCCTCCTCCTCCTCGTCGTCCTCCTCCTCCTCCTCCTCCTCCTCCCTCCTCCTCCTCCTGCACCTCCTCCAGCAACCGGGCGAAACCAGCTGGGCGAAACCAGCCGGGCGAAACCAGCGTAGGCGAAACCAGCGTCTGGCGAAACCAGCCCGGGCGAAACCAGCGCCAGGCGAAACCAGCCGGGCGAAACCAGCCGGGTGAAACCAGCCCCGGGCGAAAGCAGCGGTTGCCCATGGGACGCAACCCCTTCAGACCATTCGCCCCAGCCTTCTCCCACTCTCTCCTCCCCGTCCTCCACCTCCTCCACCTCGGAGGAGGAGGGGGAAGGGGAAACGGGGGATGAAGGAACATGAGATGTCAGGGGAGGCTGGGGAGAGAGGCAAGGTAGAGGGCAGCACAGAGGGGAGAGAAGCGAAGCGAAGCGAAGCGAAGCGAAGCGCGCAAGTCCGCCAGAGCGGGACCCTTGAGGGTCGGCGCGGGCGGGCGCGGGGAGGGGAGAGGAGCTGGATGAAGAAGGAACGGTGCAGATGGGCATGGCGCCGGAGTGGAGCGAGCAGAGGCGTACTGCGAGCGCGCAAGAACACACACACACACACACACTCGCACCAGAAGTCCCCCACCCCTCCAAACACTCTGGCCACGGAGCTCTCCAGGACGAGGGCATTCGGTACGTACCTGCGGCGGGAGGATGAGAGACAACAAGTCCGAGCGTCGCACAGAGAACAACTGCGACGTATGGCGTGATGGACTCGCACTTGCTGCCCATGGTCCCGCTTGCTTAGTAGTATGCTTAGATCGGGCGTGTCCCCCTACAGGCGCATGTTGGACGAAACATTAAAAATACCCCAGAGATTGAGAAGTTGTCGACAAAAAAAAGTAACCCCTGACTAGTTCTGACTATGTTTGAATATTCCTCCTGTAGAGGGACACGCCCGACTTAACAGTGTGCTTGCTTCGCCACGTCGCCTGGAGCGCGACGAGTGTCGCTCGCGCCTGCGGCCGTCGGTGTTCGGGGCCGGCAGCCGTCGGGGATGAGGGGAGGGAAGATGAGGAGGCAGAGGATGAGGCGCAAGGATGAGAGGACTACACTCGACCAGGATAGTGAGGACGCGCGGTAAGGGTGCAAAGGCCTTGGAACGCCGTGTTGACGTTTGCCGTGCTGAGCGCAGCAGAATGCCGAAGGATGCCGAATACCCAAGGGGCAAGGATGCAAGGGTAGCGTTGGAAATTCGCCCCATCCTTACTATCACGGTTGACTGTACCCAGATGAGCAAGCAAGTACATAGACATCCACTTCCGGAGGTCCGCGCGGACTTCTCGGATCGGCGCTGGACCCCTCTCCTTGACGCGCGGAGCGCGCCAGGGGCGGCGCAAGAGGCGCCGCCAAGGGAGTCCAACGCCGATCAAAAAAGTACGCGCGAATCTCCACAAATGCATGTTGATAGTATCAGTATCATTATACGTATTCGTATTATGATGCTTGGCATTATTATCATTATCATTCTCATTAGTATGATTACTATGTTTCTTCTTCGTCTGCACGTATCTGTGCCTGTGGTGATCGACGGTCGATGTGCAGCTCTCTGGTGTGTGCCGTGCGCTTGGCCCGTAAACACGGGCGGCTCCGTTCGCGCCTGGCCCACCGACACAACACCGGCAGACGTGAATAGTTACGCTGGCTAGCACTGGTGTGGAGACGTGTGCGGGTTCCACGTGGCACTTGGCGATGCCAGGCCACGTGCTCTTGCTGCGGTGGCGCCGTGCTGCCCCTGCCCCTGCGCCGCGCTCTCTCTTCGGTCGTTTCTCGGCGCGCTAAAGACAGGACGAGAGAATCCGCCTCCGTCACTGGAACTAGTGGGCCCCGAATTCACAATCAATTAAATGATACCGGAGAAAGAACCCAATCAGGGCTATAGGGCTAGGGGGCTATAGGGCTATAGGGCTATAGGGCTATTGAGCTATAGGGCTATTGAGCTATAGGGCTATAGAGTTGTAGGGCTATAGGGCTGTAGGGCTATAGGGCGTAGGGCTATAGAGCTTTAAGGCACCCCCGGGCACCCCCGGGCACGCCCGGGCACCCGGGCACCTGGGCACCCCCAGGCACCCACCGGGCACCTGGGCCCCGGGCACCCCTGGGCACCCAGGCACCCAGCTGCAGCGAAAATCGGCGACAAACCTAACCATATGAATCTGCTAGGACCCCTACAGAGGCAAGCTCTGATTGGAGAATGTGAGTCGTGCTTTCGCCACGCAGTGGCGAGGATCAAGCAGATAGTTCCCGAGCAGATGGCAGTGTTTCCATGGCGGCGCCTTTGATCCAGAATCTATGGCTCTGCGTTCCTGCTGCAGCTTTCCCGCTCGCCCTCGCGCGCCCTCGCCCTCGCCCTCGCCCAGGCGCCACGGAGCGCCGAGGGGCGGGGCCCCAAACAATTCACCACCACCACCACCTCCCAGGGAGGTGATGGTGGTGTATAGTTTGGGGGTAAGGGAGGTCCTCCCCCACCCCCACCCTCTCCCAGGAAGGAAAAGGGGAGCAGAAGAGTGGCGGAGGGATGGGGAATGGAGGTGGAGGTGGTGGTGGTGGTGGTGGTGGTGGTGGTGGTGGTGGTGGTGGTGGTGGTGGTGGTGGTGGTGGTGGTGGTGGTGGTGGTGGTGGTGGTGGTGGTGGTGGTGGTGGTGGTGGTGGTGGTGGTGGTGGTGGTGGTGGTGGTGGTGGTGGTGGTGGTGTTGGTGGTGGTGGTGGTGGTGGTGGCGGTGATGGTGTATATTCTTGGGGCCTACACGAGAGGCCCGGCGCAGCTTGGCCGCGACCCCACCCAGGGCGAACGTTGGGATGCCACACAAATCCCGACGACGTTTGGTGTCCTCGGTCCCGCTAGCCATGTTGGCGCACAAAGAGGCGGACAAGGCTAGCCGTGTGTTGTCCGTTAGGAGTGTTCGGCCTAGACTAACACTTCCAATGCGCATGGCGTAGCATATGGCGCAGACTGGCCGCGGCACCCATCGCCGAGAGCTCCCTCCCTCCCTCCCTTCCCTTCCATGCAGGGGGGCAACCAGGGCACGGACCGCGGAGATATAGATGACGTGGCACCCGCCATCTCACTCCCACCAAGATGACCCCCAACAAACGCCAAGAGGGCCCCCTCCGGGAGGCCCCCCCCGGGGGCCTCCATGAGGCTTCAGGAGGTCACCACAGGGCCCCACAAGAGTACCACAGGAACACCCAGAAGCGCCACGACGAGACCGTCAAGTGGCATCCAAGAGGCCTGGAATCTGCAGTCTTCACAGGGGGCCCAAGCGGGCAATGTGGAGGAGGAGGAGGAGGAAGAGGAGGAGGGGGGGCTGGCTCAGGAGGGGAGGGGGGAGACGTCGTCCTGGGATCGATGGTACCTCGCCAGCAGATGCTGGCAGTGCACAGGCCCCCCCAGGTGGAGAGAGCCCACGCTCCAGGGCAGGGCAGGCCACCAAAGCTACGATCGACGAACTTGCGTATTATATGCCACCAGGCTGTGCTCAACAGACTGCCTCGCCGTCCTGCCAAGAGACGAAGGACCGACACTGTCCGTCCTGCCCCAAAGAGATTTCGATGCGTGATCGCCGATGGATCTGCTGATGACGTCGATGTCTCCGTCCTCCCCTCAGCCCCCCCTCTTCCGCGCTCTTAACCGCTCATCACCACTCAGCAGGGGTCGGCCCCAGCAGCGTTTGGCGCCTGCGTCTGCTGGAAGCGAGGGCGGTCCGAGAGACCAACCCGAGAGACTGCGTCTCTTGGCCCGCGGTGGGCCCGAAAGCGGAGCCGAGGCGAGAACGAAACGAAGAGTGTGCCGCGGAGATACTCACCACAGCGATCCGGCCGCCCCTTGCATCTCATCGGTGCCAGGGGGATAGGAGGAGAAAATGCAGGGGGACGGCATGGCAGCGCTCGTTAGCAAAACCACGATGTCATCAGAGTCATGGGGAGGAGGAGGAGGAGGAGGAGGAGGAGGAGGAGGAGGAGGAGGAGGGCAGGAGGACGAGGAGGATACGAAGAAAAGCGGCAGCAAGGGGAAGATGAGAGAAATGGTGATGACACACACACACAGACAACGGTGGAGCGAGCGAGGGAGCGAGGGCATGACCGGTCAGCACCGACTGGGGAGAGGATCGGCTCCGAGCGAGGGTGAAGAGGGAGATGCACGGGACCCGAAGCGAGGAACACAAGGGGGAAGGGGGTCTGGCTCCGGTGGTCATGCTCCCCTCCCTCGTTCTCCTTCTCCCGTATTACCTCACCTGATACTCCTCATCCTCTTCGCTCTTACCTCACCTGGTCATCCTCCTTATACACCTCATCCCTCTCATCTCGACCTGGTCCTCCTTTTCTCCTCATCCGCGTATCTTGCCTGGCCCTCCCCCTCCATCTTGTCATTCCTAACCCGACCTGGCCTCTCTGACCCCGAGGGGTCGCCCAGTGGCAGGGCGCTGCGCGCCCAGACGCCAGCGGTGGGCAGATGGTGTCCCACTGCGTGCTGGACCTGAGGGCCCCCTCGTCTCCAGATCTGTCCTCCTCCTTCTCCTCTGCCCAGCTCGTCGTCGACGGCGTCGTCGTCCTCCTCCTCGTTCTCGTCGTCGCACTCGTCTGGCAACGAGGTGGAGTTGAAGGGGGCGCGGGCGAGACTCGCCCCCTACCCTCGAGCCAGGAGGAGCAGGAGAGAGGAGGTGAAGGCGACGGGTGGGGGGAGAGGAAGAGGGGGAGAGGAGGTAGAGGAGAGGGGAGTAGAGGGGGAAGGGGTAAAGGCGACACGAGCGAGGCTCGTTCCTCCTCCTCCTCCTCCTTTCCTCCATCCTCCTCCCCCATCAAGTCCTCCATTATCCGACATATTCAGTGCTGCTCCTACACCATCCATCCGTCACCGTCCTCCTTTCCCGCTCCATCCTCCATGCTCCTCCTCATCCTCCTCCTCATTATCTTAATCACCACCTCCTTCGGCGATGGCTCTTGTGAAAAGCGACCTCATCCTACCTCTTCATCCTCCTGAATCCTCGGACTTGGGCCAGAAAGAACAGCTGGCACCAGGAGTTTGCCGGATGGAGGTGGCAAGGCAGCAGGAGGGAAGAGGAGTTGTCGGGGGGGTCCTTCCCTCTCACGCCTCACACGCCCCAGCGTTCCTCCAGCGCAGCTCCCACAGCGGAACTAGTTCCTTCGATGTAGCTCACTCTCAACGCCCATTCCAGGCGTGGCTGCCATCCTCCCCCTCCTCCCCCGCCTTTTCCCCCTCCACCCTCCTCCCCCTCATTCCCCTCCTACTCCTCCTCCTCGTCCTCCTCCTCCTGCTCCTCCTCCCCCTTCTCCTCCTCCTCCTCCTCCTCCACCTCCTCCTCCTCCTCCTCCTCCTCCACCTCCTCCTCCTCCTCCTCCTCCTCCTCCTCCTCCTCCTCCTCCTCCTCCTCCTCCACCTCCTCCTCCTCCTCCTCCTCCTCCTCCTCCTCCTCCTCCTCCTCCTCCTCCTCCTCCTCCTCCTCCGTCATCATCATCATCATCATCATCATCATCAGCAGCAGCAGCAGCAGCAGCAGCATCATCATCATCATCATCATCATCAGCAGCAGCAGCATCATCATCATCATCCTCATCATCATCATCATCACCACCACTACCACCATCATCATCATCAGCATCATCATCATCATCGTCATCATCATCATCATCATAATCACCATCACCATCATCATCATCATCATCATCATCACCATCACCATCACCATCACCATCACCATCATACCACCACCACCACCACCATCATCATCATCATCATAATCATCATCAGCATCATCAGCATCAGCACCAGCACCAGCGTCATCATCATCATCAGCATCAGCATCAGCATCAGCATCATCAGCATCAGCATCAGCATCAGCATCAGCATCATGATCATCATCATCATCATCATCAGCATCATCAGCATCATCGTCATCATCATCATCATCATCATCATCATCATCATCATCATCATCATCATCATCATCATGATCATGATCATCATCATCATCCCCCTCTGCATATTTGTCAGTGGGGTTCTATCCTGTGCGTGCTCTCCTACGAATGCATTTCCAGCATTGTCCGAGGAACAACGCGCGGACCGTTCGCCATCGCAATACACCACGCCTCTCGGCCGTCTCAGTTCAATCGTTGACGCTTACCTCTTGCAGGCTTGTGTTAGGTCGTTTCCTGCAACTGACCAGCAGGAGACACAATGCCTTGGAGACATCCTGAAGAACAGTGGGAGAGGGCGTGGGTGAACACGGGATGGAAGGAAGCGAGGACGAAAAGCAGCAGCAGATCTTCCCACGCAACGCTCGCGGGGTGCCTGTCCGATGTCATGAGGGGCTTGACACTGTCGGCCCAATCCATGTAATGCTGGGTCGCGAAGTGCTCCACAGGCCCGATCGGCTTCCTGGCAACCACTACCTTACTCCTCCTCCTCCGACCAAACACCCGCATTCCCATCTCCAGCGTCGTCGTGATATTCCTTGGCTCCTCCTTTTCTGGATCGGGTAGCGTGAGCAGCTAGCACGATGTCAGGGCGAAGAAGGTGGCAGGGGATTCGTTCAACTTGTCGAGGCAATCGCGGGAGAGGAGTAGGAATGTAGAAGAGAAAAGGTGAATGGAAAAGGGGGGATTACGGAGAAGGGTGAAAGGGATTATGAGGTGAGGTAGGGGGAATGGAAGAATCCGAAAGAAAGGTAGCAACAGTGTGTGTGAGCAACGGGGGAGGAGAAGGGAAAAGAGGGCGAGAGAAAAGGAAGCAGGATAATGGAAGAGATGGCAGAGGAGACTGGGGAGGTGACGGTAGAAGGAAGCCTCATGGTCACATATCAGCCTTCAATCGTGTCCTCCGGCTTCCCCATCCCCTCCTGATACATAACTCATCCTCGTCCGACCACCAGACTTGTCGGTAGGGCGGCCAGGCGTTTCCCCGGATAGATCCTCAGAAGTTACGATCCTGAAGCTTAAACTATGCGACAGTTGCACAGGTGGAGGGCGGCCCGCTTTCAAAATGGAGCGCTCGCTCTAATGCAGCGCAAGCACACTCGTCTACAAAAAGGAACCAAGCACAATGATGGAGGGCGACTTGTCTTTAAAATGGAGCTGCCGCATCCTGGTGCAACACGCACTCCTCATAAACTGAACCAAGCGCGATCCCAATTAGGGGAACGCTTCCTGAGCAGCATTACTTGACATTGCTTGGCATTGCCGCGCTTGGCATTGCATTCCTTTGCGTTGCTGGGCACTGCTTGGCGTTGCTTGGTATTTCTCGGTAACGATCGGCATTGATTGGCGTTGCTTCGCGTTGCTTGGCATTGCGTGGCATTGGTTGGCACTGGTTGGCATTGCTTCGTAGTGCTTGGCATTGCGTTGCCTTGTATTGCTTGGTATTGCTTCAATTTGCAATGGTTTTCTGGGCATTGCGTCGCCTGGCATTGCCAAACATGGCACCGCTTGGCATTTATTTGAGTTGCGTTGGTCGGGATTGTTTGGCATTGCCTGGCAGCGCTTCAAATTGCGAGACATCGTTTCGTATTTCCTGGCGTTGCTTGGCATCGCTTCGCATCGCCTGGCATCGCTTGGTATTACAATTACACAAGAGAAAAACCAGTTAGCCGATAGTTTAAAACATCGTGATATGGGCATGGATGTTGAGATCGAGTGTGGTATTGGTAATGAGGTCGATCGTGGGATCGATAGCGAGGACGATCGTAAGGTCGATCATGAGACCGATGGTGAAGTCAAATCAACGAAATCGATCGTGAGATCGATAGCGGCATCGACCGTACGATGTGTAAGAAGATCGATTGTGAGATCGATAGCGAGATGGGTCGAGAGGTGGGTAGTGAAATCAATGGTGAGAACGATCAATAAAAATATCGACCAGAAACAAGAGAACTCGGAAACCCAGGAACCCCGCCGCCCACCGAAACTGGCCCGGAACCAAGGAACCAGGAACCGGGAATCTGGAACCGGGAACTCGGGAACTTGGCCGCCCACCGAAATCGGCCAGGAACTTTCGTCTAATCTTTCAACATCCGCTAGGACCCCTTCAGTGCAAGCGCTGATTGGGGAATTGCGTGGCAGCTCTTGGCATCACATTGCTTTGTTTTGCTCGGTGAATCATTGCATGTCTTGGTGATGCCTGGCATTGCTTAGCACTGCTCGGCAACCCTGGGAACGCCTCTTCAAGCACAAAAGCGAAGAAAGCAATGCCAAGGACCACGGGGAACCAAGGGAACCTTAGGAAGGCAAGCCTGTCAAACATGCTACTCGTCGGTCGGAACAAACGGGCAGAAACATGAAGTAGATTCGTCTTCCGCCCGCCCCCTGAAGAGGAGGGAACAGAAAAAAACACTCGACTGTTGAAGGAAGGCGCCTAAAGCGAATTGAGATTTGCATCTCCAACAATACGTTCACGTCGGTCGCAAGAAGTAATAACAATAAACAACAGCATGCCGATGCCGATACATTTCGTGGAGCTCTGATCCGTCTGGCCCTGGGGACGTTTTCGAAACCCGCCGACCCTGGGAACTCTGAAGGGTCCTTAAAAGAACCTATCGACTTGCAGCGGGCTTGCGCTCTCGGCAACCAGGGCCGCACTGCCCTCGTCACTGGCACCCCTCAATGGGGGGGGGGCTTGGGGCCAGCCGAGGGGCCAGAAAAAACTTGGATTTCCTCGGCCCCGACTTCGCTCAGCCCGCGGCAACGCTATCGTCGGCGCCTCTCGCGCCGAACCTGACCCCTCAGAATCCCTCGTCAGAAACGGCAGACGCCCTGAATTCTGCAACTCTTGAAACCTCCGGCTCTGCTTTGTGGGCCATTGCGGTTGGCTGTTTGTACGCGCGTTTGTATATAGCTTATAACGGTGGCTAGTGCACTTACAAGCCTGGCAACGTGACGTATAAGATGGGTAAGTGATTAGCTAAGTGGTTAATCGAGGGCACGAATTGATTTCTGGATAGATCTCGAATAGCGGCGTTATAGCCACACTACAACCAGCCATCTTGACGCTTATGTAAGTAGTGACATCCACTTAGGTACTGGTTATGACTCAATTAGATTTCGGGCCAATTTTAGCATCCACTGAAGTGTCACTTAACTTCCACTTAGGTTTCTGTTAACTTCCACGTAGATTCACCTTGCAATTTGAAGCTCGGACCATGGGGCCCCCTCGTGGACTAGCACCATTTCAAGACCTCCTCCTCCTCACTCTTCCTCCTCCCGCTCCTCATCTCCGCCCTCATTACATTCCCCTTTTCTCCTCCTCGTCGCCTCCTCCTCCCTCGTTCCTCCTCACTATCCCGCTCCTCCATGACAGCGTCCGCATCAAGCCCCCTATTCCCCCCCCCCATCGACCCCCTCCAACTCCATTTTCTGTTCCTCCACCCGTTCAGCCCCATCCTTGTCGTTCTGGTCCCCCTCCTCATCCTCCCGTGACCTCCCTCCCTCATCCTCCTGCCCCTGGTCACCTTCACTCCTTCTCATGCATAATCCACCCCTCCCTCCCCCTCATCGTGAGCATGCGCATGCATAAGCAAAGCCGTAAGGAGCGAGCTCCTCTAGAACGATGGTCGGGGGACAACGCCAGGGATGGTGGAGGTGAGAGGCTATGCTGTGTATGCCATGATAGCGCTGTCACGCGACGATTTGGACCATTATGCAGCTAGTTGTTGTGCTACACCACCTGACGCCACGCAGCGCAATGCAATGCAATGATATGCTGTGCTACGCGACGCCATGCAATGCAATTCAATGCAGTGCTACGCGCTGTTACGCTTGTCGTGATACGCTATGCTGCTATACGAGGCTTTGCTCTGTTTATGTTTTCTGGGCGAGCCCAAGGCGTCTACTCCGCAGTTGGGGCGAGCCCCGTCCGTCTCGAGTGGGCTGAGCCTCATGGCGTGGCAATGCGTCGTCCCCAATGCAGCGGCAGGTGCGTGCGTGCTCTGGTGCACGCGGTTGCACTTCCCCACTGCCAAACACGCACTAGCGCCTAGATTATTGGTGAGGCCAGGGCAGAATGTCACTTCTGAGGTCAGGGCAGGATGTCACTTCTGATTCACGTGCGCGACAAGCCGCGCCCACGCTTCTTTAGGAGTCTCCGTGGCACCCGAAAACAATGAAAGCTGTGTCGACACGTTCGCCGATGCGCAGCGCTCTCCATTTCTGGGCAGCGGCCGACGTGTAGATCTTGAAACCATTGTACATCACCATAGGTTTTGCCGTGTTGGGAACGCCTGGGAACGTGAGCTCCGGGGCCGATTTCTCGAGCTTCTCGGGCGTCTCCGCGGCGGCCGCGGGCCGCTTGAAGGCTTTCTCCTTGGTCGCTGGCGCGGAGAGGGGGGGGGGGGGGGGAGGGCGAGGGCGGGGGAGGGAGGGCGAGGGGGAAGATGGCGGGGAAGCCAATGAGGACGAGGAGCGGGAGGGGCAGGATTGGGGCGATACTGAAACGGAACAGGGGAGGAAACGGAGGGCGATGTGGGTGGGATGATGGGAGGCCGAATGGCGACGAGGTGGAAAAGGGGGAATGGTGGGCGGCCGCAGGCCGCTTCCTCGCACAACTCGTCGCCACGTCCGTCGCAGCAGCGACGGCCCCGCTCTCCCCGAGCACGTGCCCAAACTTCCGCACCGCGTCGTCGACGTCGACCCCGCCTTCGATCGCGAGGCGTCGTCGCCGCCGTCGTCGTGCTTAGCCTTGGCGTTGCTTTAGCTGTGCTTTGCGTTAGCCTTGCTTTAGCCGTGCGGTGGTTTTGTTTGGACGTTGCTTTAGCTTTGCTTTAGCTTTACTGTTGCTTCGCTTTAACTTCAGCTTTCCTTTAGCTTTGCTGTAGCTCTGAGTTAGCTTGGCTTTAGCTTTGGGTTAGCGTTGCTTTAGCTTTGCTTACGCCTTGGCTTAGATCTATATTAGCTTCATCTTAACGTTAGATGTGCTTTAGCTTCGCTTGAGCTCTGCGTTAGCTCTGCGTTAGCGTTGCTGTAGCCTTGCTAAAGCTTTGCTGTAGCTTTGCTGTAGCTTTGCTGTAGCTTTGCTGAAGCTGTGTTTTAGCTTTGCTTTAGCTTTGCTTTAGCTTTGCGTTAGCTTTGATTTAGCTTTGCTTTAGCCTTTATCGTTGCTGTAGTGTCACCAGCCCTCTGGGCGTCGGTGGTTTAACGAGTTTCCTCTTCCAACCCTCCCTCTTCCCCTTCGGGGAGGGGTTTACCCCTCCCCCAACCCCCTCCCCACTGACCTGGACAGGGGGGCCCGCGGCGCGCTGGGGCGCCCAAGATGGCCCAAGACGGCTCCAAGAGGGCCTCAGGGAGCCCAAGATACCCTCCAAGATGGCTCAAGATAGCGCAAGATGCCTCAAGATGGTCCCCATGATGTTCCAAGGCGTTCCGAGAACTCTCCAAGACGGTTCCCAGTGC